TATACAATATTTTCTCATGATAATACCAAAATGTTAAAATGAACACATTTTTAGTTAATTTTTAAAATATTTATAACATTAAATTTTTTATTTTAAACTTTTTCTTTTAATTTCTTGAAATCATTTATTGTTTCCTTGAAACACTATAGTTATTAAAACATTTTTTTAATATTTGAATCAATTAAGATTTATTAATCGAATTATACATAAATAATACTAATAATTTCCATCAATTTCATAGAATTTCCTCAAACCATTGTTGTTTACTAAAATTTATACAATAGTTCTTTCTAGAACATTTATTTTCTTTTGAGGGAAAACTTGAACTGAAATAAACACAGTATTTTTAGAACATTGTTAACATTAATAATATATGAAAACACAAAGAAAGAAATGAAAGAGTTCCACTGCGAAACGCAATTCACTCATTCCAGAAACATTCAAAGTTTATATTTAGGACTTTCGACAGCAGCAGCAGCATCAAATGCACAATGTTTGCACAAAAGTAATAAAGTTTCGAACGTAAATCACAGTTTATTAACCATTTTTATTCTGCGATGCCAACGTTCCTCGTATCGTATTATCTTTGAAGTTCTATCGTCCCATCATAATACATAAAAATCGATTGTCGACCAATTTCACATTTACTGCGATAAAATATATCCATTTTCGCAGATTCGACACAAATCGATGCAAAAAAATTACAAAAAAAAGCATATGTAAATCTTAAATAAAAAGTGAATATAGCAAGAAAAAGGTGGTTTCCATAGCAATAGACGTCAATAGTGACGACGGTTGGAAGATGTTCAGGTAACGAAAAAAAAAGAGAAAAGAAAATTGAAGGAAATTGTTTTTTTAACAATTTATTGTGCAGCATTTACAAATAATGATAATTGTTAATTAATTAATGAATACTTTTAGCGTTGATTTCAAAGAAATGATAAAAGTAATATTTGTTGGTAGCAATTTACGTATTGCATCGAGAGAGATGATCTCCATGTCTTTATGCGATGCATAAAACTTTATGGCTTCGTGTTTATGGCGGAAAGTACAGTAAAATAATAACGAGTTCGGTCATTCGTTATTGCTGGATATTTGTGTGGAAGAAGGCGCCCACGTATCGTTTATCATATCGGCCCTTTCATCCTGGCCACGTTATGTAATAATTCTGTACGTATTCGGTTATAATTTATCAGATAGCAACGTTTAAATACCAAAGAGAAACAGAATGAAAACTACAAACACTTGAAAATTGGTGTTTTCGCTGGAGGCGAATTGATGCAAATCGCTGTAATTTATTACACTGAAATTATTTCCTGAAGCGTCTGAAAAATGCTTAGAGATTTGCAGCGTTTAAATGCCAAAGAGAATCAAATATGAAAATAAAAACTACAAATATTGCATTTGAAAATTAGTGTTTTCATCGGAGATGAAAATTAGTGCAAATTGATGCAATTTATTACAAGTGAATAATTTCCTGAAATATCTGAAAAATGATACGAGATTTGCAGCCAACCAAAATGAAAACTAGAAATATTACACTTGAAAATTGATGCATTCACCGGAGATAAGCATTGATGCAAACCATTGTAATTTATTACAGACAAATTATTTCCTAAAGCGTCTGAAAAATGCTACAAGATTTGCAACTACAAATTGGAGCATTTATATACCAAAGACAATTGAAACTGATACCAAAATGAAAACTACAAGTATTACACTTGAAATTGTTGCTTCCACTGGGGATGGCATTTTATGCACACCATTGTGATTTATTACAAAATGAAACGTCTGAAATGGTAATGCTAAAATATTTGCTGCAGTTAAATACCAAAGAGAATCGAAAATGAAAACTAGAAACATTACACTAAAAAAATCCTGTTTTCACTGGAGATGAAAATTGTTGTAAATTGCTGCAATTTATTATAAAATATCTGAAAAATGATACAAGATTTGCAGCGTTTAAATACCTAAGAGAATTGAAAACGATACGGAAATGAAAACATCAAATATTAAATTTGAAAATTAGTACTTTAACGGAGATGAAAATTGATGCAAATTGCTACAATTTATTACAAACGAATAATTTCTTGAAGTATCAGAATTATGATACAAGATTTACTTCATTTAAATATCAAAGAGAATTGAAAAGCATATTAAAATGAAAACTACAAACATTATACTTAAAAATTAGTGCTTTCACCAGAGATGAAAATTAATACAAATCGCGACAATTTATTACAAAGTATTTGAAAATGCTACAAGATTTACTTCATTGAAATATCAAAGAGAATTGAAAACGATATCAAAATAAAAACTACAAACATTAGATTTGAAATTTAATGCAAACCATTGCGATTTATACAGACGAATTATTTCTGAAGCTTCTGAAAAATTCTGCGAGATTTGCAACTACAAATTGGAGCATTTAAGGAAGAAAATATGATTTTCCATTGCCAAAGGGATTGATTTTACTTTGTGGAACAAGTTGCTGCAATTGGCTGGAGAATTACATTCAAAGTTGTATATATATTTATAGATTTATTGAAGGCGTATACAAGCTACGTCATTGGCGTTTTGTAAACATTAATTCGAAGTGATTAGTAACGATAATTCGAATTCCGCATTAGCATTATAATCGTTACATCAAAAGCACTGGACCTATTAACCTACCTACATCCATTCATCAATTTATAATTATATATTTGACGCAAATTGTGTAACTTAACAATAGAAGCGTAGACATTTGGTATTAATTTTGTTGTAAACTATAGTAAATATTATTTGTCACAAATTATTGTATCTTTTTTTAACTGTATTAAAATTTAAAATTAATGTAATATTGGTAAATTATAAAACGCATATTTGTGTTTTGATGAACACTCCTGATTATTATTGTTCTTAATGAAATGAGGTTTGACGTATAATTTCTGAACTAAGATAAACTTGATTTTTTTTAAATTTACTTATAGAGTAATAATAAAACATTTTATAACATATTTTTTGTACATTTAGTAATGTATGGTCTCAGATAGAGAAGTTTTCAAGTTGGGATAGAAGTAATCATTATAAAAAATATATAAGTTATGTCTTAAATTAGATGGAACGCATACGGTGATTGGATCATCAAATGTATAGTAGAATACAAAAGTATGCACAGAATTTTCTTATGATTATGAAATTAGAAGTCTGATGGTATTTAAACTGAAGTGGCATCTGTCACGTGTACATATTAGTTGGACAAATATTTAGGTCATATGTGAAGCATGAAGTGGATACCGTTTATATAATGTTGATACAAAAGTTTGATGATATTTAAATTGAAATGACAGCTGTTATATTCATAGTAGTTGATATACTTGACAAATATTTTTGTCACATGTCAAGCATAAAATGGATTCAGTTTATATCAAGTTGATAATCCACAGTTTAGAAGTATCTTGATAATGAATCTGAAGCGACAGTTGTCAAGTATATATATTAGTTGATACACCTGTCAAAAAATTATGTCACATGTTAAGCATGAGTAGATCTATTTATATCATCTTATACACTATGATTAGAAGTCTGATGATATTGAAACTGACGTAGCAGCTATCACATATACGTAGTAGTTGGTACATTTGACAAATATGTTTGATATAGTCTGGCATAAAGAGGATGCACTCAACATGATATAAACTGCATCCACTTTATACACATGATGATTTAAAAGTCTGTTGATATAGAAACTGAAGTGACATCTGTCAAATAATTGTGACACAAGGCAAGCATGAGTTTATATCATATTGATAATACATAAGTCTGATGATATGGAAACTGAAGTAACAGCTGTCACATATACATAGTAGTTGGTACATTTGACAAATTTGTTTGACATAGTCTGGGATAGAGTGGATGTTTTTTATATCAACATGATATAAACTGCATCCACTTTATCCACACGATGATTTAATAGTCTGTTGATATAGAAACTGAAGTGACATCTGTCATAATACATAATACATAATAATACATAAGTCTGATGATATGGAAACTGAAGTAACAGCTGTCACATATACATAGTAGTTGGTACATTTGACAAATTTGTTTAACATAGTCTGACATAGAGTGGATGTACTTTATATCAACATGATATAAACTGCATCCACTTTATCCACACGATGATTTGGAAGTCTGTTGGTATTGAAACTGTAGTAACATCTGTCAAATAATTATGACACAAGGCAAGCATGAGTGGATTAGTGTATATCATATTGATAATACATAAGTCTGATGATATTGAAACTGAAGTAACAGCTGTCACATATACATAGTAGTTAGTACATTTGACAAATTTGTTTGACATAGTTTGGCATAGAGTGGATGTACTTTATATCAACATGATATAAACTGCATCCACTTTATCCACACGATGATATAAAAGTCTGTTGATATAGAAACTGGAGTGACATCTGTCAAATAATTATGACACAAGGCAAGCATAAGTGGATCAGTGTATATCATATTGATAATACATAAGTCTGATGATATTGAAATTGAAGTAACAGCTGTCACATATACATAGTAGTTGGTACATTTGACAAATATGTTTGTCATAGATAAGCATAAAGTGAATGCAGTTTTTATCATGTTGATAATCCACACTATGATTCGAAAGTCGGTTACTGTTCAAACTGAAGTGACATATGTGGCGTGTCAATCTTGAATTAGATGCAGTTTATAAAATATTGATAAACTACATTATCATTTAGTAGTCCCATGATATTGAAACAAAAGTAATAACTGTCACATATAAATAGTAATTGTATCTCATATTTAAAGCAATCGTGGATCAGTTATATCATATTGATAATCCACACTCTTATTTGTAATTCCATTGATATTGAAACTGAAGTGAATGCTCACATATTTACAAATGTTTATATCACATATGAAACATAAAATTGATTTTATTAATGTAATTGTGGCTATTTTATTTGAATATTTTTTTGTTACAGCAACGGATGTCATTTTCCAAATACAACGTGAACTGTTTCGCCGACACGTATTCAGGCATGCCATCGCCAAACCCCACCAGAAGACCGAGGCTGAACTCAGTGTTCGTAGGTAGTTCCACAATGGCCTTCCTGAATCCACCTCGACGAGCGAAGAGCGCCATGGACATACAGCATCTCGTTCTGAACGAGACGAGTCCGACGTCTCTAACCGGGTACCGTTCGATGCTGCCCATGATCAATTACAAGGACAGAAGGCCGTCCATTACGATCGAACGACCGCAGTGTCACGCGAAACACCGTCCTTCCATATCAACAGAAAGACCTCTGCTTTCCCACTACCAGCAATTCCGAAATCGCAGATCTTCCTGTGCCGTCGACAGGAACAGGAACTTCAGCAGCGTCGACCAGCCTAAAAGGAAGGCATCGATCACGATCGAAAGACCATCGTGCAGCTACCAAGGACCGACGATAAGCTTCGAAACATCCATGGACCATCCGACTGTCATAGTCGAGAAGGCCGAGAGGCCGAAGATCTCCAGGAGCTTCGAGCAACCGACCATCATCGACAAGACGCATCTCCTTCCGAGGATGGCAGCTAGTTTGGACGTAAACGCGGTCACCTTCGATCGCAGACCATCGATTCCCGAGGAGGATGGAAGATGCTCTCCTGTTATCATCACCTTGGATGAATCGGAGATCACAGCGAACGCGCCACTCCTTGAACGACTGAAAAGCTCGGACGTGTGATAATCCCGTCTCTGAAATATAAAATATATGAAACGAAACGAAAATGAACCCATATCATCCTTACATTTCCGTTTTTCTTTTCTCAGCGACGGTAGGTTAACAACCTTTCTCTCGATTCCTCCTTGCTCTCCCGATACATAATGTGCTTTATGTAAATATCTCAAAAATGAAGAAAAAAAAAACGATCGTCTCTTACACACAAAAAACAACAATTAAGAATAAAATATTTATTATATGTCAATATCTATATATATACTAAAAAAATATATATTTATTATAAGTCTATATAATGGTAGTCCTTAGACTAGGTGAATTAGTTCTGAAGAAAGTAGTAGTTATTACGTAACAGAGAAGCGAATGAACGAAGAAACTTGACTTCACGTAGACGTACAAGTCTACGAATGCATTGGTCTAGCTTTAATAATGTAATAACATCTTGCAGATGAAAATATATTTAAATACTTAAGGTAACGTTTATAAACGAGGACAGGAATGAAAAGTAACTAAAACGCAAAACAGACTTATTGGATATTCTGAAATAACGTTGATATATATATAAGACAAAATTTTTAGAGTCAACAATTCCTAAAATTGACGAGATTCTAATAATAAAAAGAAACAAAAAACTTTTTTTTCTAATAAATAAATTATCAAATAAATAGATTAGATCAAAGTTAAATTTGATAATTAAACACAATTAATATGAACATTTTGTTTTTAATAACATAAATAAAAAATTATTACTTTGCATAGTACGGCTTCACTGTAGACCGGTTAGAAATTTTTTAAATTAATTCTAAAACGTTTTCAATTTTTTACACAGTCATGTAGCCTTTATTTTTTTATATTATTTCTGAGTTTATTATTAATCCAGCGATATTAGCGGAACCGTACTATTCGAGGTATTGCTGTACATTGATTAATTGAAAGTAAATTAATAAAAAATAAAATAAATTATTGTTGCAAATTTTGACATAAATTTAAGAAAAAAAATATAAACATTAAAAATTGAAAATAAATTTAAATAAAAAAAAATAATTTTAAAATATCTATATAAAACTGTGCATTTTTTTAATCTTTTCAATTAGGTACAAAGTTTCTATAAAGTTTAATGAATTAAGTCAATTGCATCTGAACTCATTTGCTGATTAGAAACTTTCGCAAAAAAAGCAATATAATTATTGTTCCATCCAAAGTTAAGTTAATTCCGGAGAAGGTCGACGCCGAGTGCATCATCTGCACTATACATTGGTTATCTTTCTTTATGTCCAGTAATCGAGTTCAGTTTTGTTTTGTTTGTTTGTTTTGCCATGTTCTGCTATTTAGTCACTTAAACTTAAGATATATAAATTGTGTATTTTTATTTTTCGTTTTTCTTAACTGCAAATTAAAATTTTTGGCACAATTCCATCCGATTCGTACAACAATAAACACGAAATAATAATATTATGTAAGCATATTTAAAAATCGATGTTTGCTGTTGTTGTGACGGGCGTGAAACTCCTGCATCGATTATTAATTATGTCCTAGTTGGAAAGACGTCGAAAGGAATCGACCATATTTATATATATAAAAAAAAACAAATAATAAAAAGAAACAAAAACTTATAAATTGTAATGATGAGATTTGTATATTGTGATATCTTTGTATAACTAGGACCAACGCCGTGCGCGAAGGAAGAAGCTTCGTTCAGGAAACACAAAGAGATTTAATTGTTAAATTAAAAATAAAAAAATATAAATAAAACAAAGTTTCTAGACGTTTCTACTAACAGGATTTCAATTAAAATTGTAATTACAAATTAAATACAGCTATACCTCGCATAGTCCGGCTTCGATCAGTCCAGATTTTCTATAGTACGTTTGAAGAATTTCAAAAGAAAGTAAACTTTAATTTGGATAATTAGTACTCAAAATTGTTTTAAATTCTCGATTAGTCCGGTTTCAAAAAGTATTTGCGGATTCGATTACGCGGACTATGCGAGGTAGTAACAATAATATTATATAAATATATGTATTCGGAAGGTTTTTTAAAATTCTGGGACCTAAGATTAGATGGTAGTACTTCTTAGACTGTTATACTGTTTCTACGATTCGACTTGAAGATGAACAAATAAATTTAAACAATTACAAATTACAAAATAAAAATATATAATACAAACAAATGTTTTGTGTACTGTAACTAAAGTGGCTTACTTGTCTTTTCTTTCTTTTTTTCTATCTTTCTTAATGTGATGGTTTCTAACAGAACATTTATACAGATATATCAAAATAAAGCAAATATTCCAATAATTTCATGTTGTTTCCTTAAATTTAACCTTTAAGTACTCGCGTCCTTATATTTCTATGTAAAAACGTTTTCATATTGCTTTTTTTTATAGAAATCTATTGTGGCTCATACAAGCACGAAAGATTTCAGTGCTTGTGCCATCGTTTGTCCATATTTCCAAAAAATGGTTATGATTCTGTTTCTTATACCATAATGAGCCTAAGAGTGCTAGAATTTTTGTGTTTTTGACGGGTCTATATCGAAAGCCCGACAACCGAAATCCCGTCAATCGAAATCCCAATGTTCGAAATTCCGACTCTATCAAAATCTCGACAACCATAATCCCGATTGTATAAGAATCCTGAGAACCATAATCCCGACTACATCAAAATTCCGACTGTATCAAAATCCCAACCATATCGAAAATGTTTACAAAATTTTTAAATTATTTCGGAGCGTAGCACATGGTGCTATATTTTTATTATTAATAAGAAATTATGAATTTATTTAAATTTGTTGTATTATTCATAATAAACCTTAAGAATATGAAATAATTAATAACAATTTAAAAGTCACTACGCTCAGGAATGATTTAAAAAAAGTTATTGTAGACATTTTCGATATAGTCGGAATTTTGATACAGTTCGGATTATGGTTGTAGGGATTTTAATATAGTCGGGATTTTGATATAGTCGGGATTATGGTTGTCGGGATTTCGATACAGTCGGGATATCGAACGTCGGGATTTCGAACGTCGGGAATTTGATTGACGGGATTTCGGTTGTCGGGCTTTCGATTGCCACCGGTTTATGACATTTGCAGAGCAAGAACGAACGTGCACAAAAACAATTTCTTTGTACCGTAGTCAACACAATTCTGCACCAACGTTTAGTAAACACTTTGTGCATAGGTTAAGTTAAGTGCCATTAACTCAACTATTTGTGTATTATTTACGCTTCTTCGATCAGAACACAAGACAGATGCATAATTGATTTAGTTCTCAAAGTGGTGGCCCGTCATGATGTGTTTGTTATATTTACACAGTTTATAGATTTAGAAAAATAGAAGTTTGAGAAATTACAAGTAAATATACAAATAACATCGCAGAAATTACAATTAAACATTATGAAAATTAATTTTCAATTAAATCTACTCACATTCAGTTAAAAAAATGAGTTTGAAATCTCTATTCATCGATAAAAAAGGGTTGGAAAACTCTGATTTAAATGTATAATTGTAATAAACCGATCCCTTTTCACGTTCACGCTTGTAAGTTCACGGTTTTACATTAAAAAAGTTAAAATTTCGATTTACACGTTTTTCTCATGAATCGACCCATCGACCGTGTAAATCAGGTGTGTTTCCATTGTTTTCAATAAATTTCGTTACAGAAGTTTTTTTTAATTATTTTTTTTGTACTAAAATAAAAATAAAAAAAATCTTTATTAGTCACCAATTGCAACCAAAAGGCCTAAGTCTTTCCGCCCAGAGACACAATAAAATATAAATTGTCACAAAAAAATCATACAAAAAAAATGGCGTTCTGAAAAATGTGAAACTTTTTTTTTTTGTTTTTATTAAGTTTAACTCATTTTATTTGTATACGCTTCACGCTTCGTTAAGAAGAACGCAAGAGTGAACTTAGTTGCATAATTGCAATATATCCGTTGGTATTGATTTGTCGGTAAGATAAATGAAAGGCACGTCAGGCTTCAAGAGGTCAGCGAACTTCTCGATGCACTCTATAACGTAGTTATGTATTCAATTACAACGAACAATGCTTCCTTCTCCAAAGACGATCTCGAACTCCAAATTTCCCCTTTGTATTTTCTTAATCCAAATTTAATTCCAATTTAGAAATTATACAGCCCAGAGGACATCAGAAAATAAACGATTTTTTTAAAGATAATAAACTTATTTAGATGCATTCGTTTTATATCAAATAACTTGAAATAACCTTGGCTATGATTGTTTGAGCCGTTTGCACTTACAATTAACACGGCCGGACTTTGAAACCTTCTTTTTCCATGTATTGAAGTAATGGAAAAATCAGCATAAACATTTACCTACAAAATAATTTAAATTACTTGTCTCTTCTATACTTAAATTATAAATATCTTCTATTAAATAATTATATTATTTACAGAAATATTAAAGTAAAAATAACATTTATAATTTGTATTAAAGATCACTTAAATATACATACAAAAAAATTGTAAACTTCTTTTTGATTTATTTCCATCTCCCATAGTGCGTATAGTGTTTCTTTCCTTTTTTATTTTATCTTCCGAGGTTCTTTATTTCTTGCTTCTTCTGGCAGATTACCAAGCGGTGCGTTTAAAAATATTCCTCTCTCTTCTAGTCGTTGGAGTTTGTAGTGGATACATCTAGTGTATTTTCAGTGACTTTGCATATCGGAAACTTCGTTGATTAGTTAAAACCGTTGAAATTAAGAAGTAAGTAAGTAAATAACAATTGTCAATCGTGTTATTTTTCCTCCTATCCAATTAAAATTTAATTTAATTAATTACATTCAAATAAATTGATAATTTAGAAAGAGAAAAAAAAATAATTTTGGTGATTATACTATTATATTATGAGTAAATTAAACAATTAAGAAAATTACATTAATTATTGCATACATCAATTGAAAATCGTTTTCTTTCCTATTAAATTTTCAATTTATACAAAATAATTTGAATTTTTATATGAATATAGAAGTCTATAATATTGGTAGTTTCTAAATTATATATAAATTAATAAAAAAAAAATCAATATTTTTAATTAAATTACTATTTTAGTAAAAAAAAACTGTAATTTTGATATCTTCCTATCCTAATGTTAACATAATCACTTTCAATTTCATATATATACAAAATTTAAAAAAAACAATACAATAATATAAATATCACAAATCAATTGAAAATTTTTTTTTTCATATTATAATATCTTTGTATACACAATTATATGTTTTCAAGTAATTTAATAATTTAGGACAAAAAATAGAATTCTAGAACTCTTGTTTTATAAGTAAATTCAATAATTAGCAAAATTACTTTAATTATTGCATACGTCAAGTGAAAATCGTTGTATATACCATTAAAATTTATTTTTATACATAACTGTAATGTATTTAAAAAAAATTGATAAATTATGAAAGAAAAAAATCTAATTATAGTAGTTTTACTCTTGTTTTATAAGTAAAATAATAATTAACAAAATTACTTTAATTATTTCATACGTCAAGTGAAAATCGTTGTATATAACATTAAAATTTCATTTTATACAAAGCTGTAATGTATTCAAAAAAAGTTGATAATTTATGAAAGAAAAAATATCTAATTTTAGTAGTTTTACTTTTTTTTATAAGTAAATTAAACAATTAAAAAATTACATTAATTATTTCATACGTCAAGTGAAAATCGTATATCATTAAAATTTAATTTTATACAAAACTTAAATGCATTCAAAAAAATAGATAATTTATGAAAGAAAAAATCTAATTTTAGTAGTTTTACTATTGTTTTATAAGTAAATTAAACAATTAACAAAATTACTGTCATTATTGCATACGTCAAGTGAAAACCGTTGTATATACCATTAAAATTTCAATTTAAACAAAAATGTAATGTGTTCAAAAAAAAAACAAAATTACTTTAATTATTACATACGTCAATTGAAAATCATTTTATATCCTATTAAAATTTCATACACAATCATAATGTATTGAAGAAATTTGATAATTTAGGACATAAAAAAATATAATTTTGTTTTATAAGTAAATTAAATAATTAACAAAAATAACAATAATTATTGTACACGTTATTTGAAAATTATTTTATATCCTATTAAAATTCAAGTAAATTGAGAATTTATGAAAAAAAATAGTTTTAGTGGTTTTTACTGTAATGTAAATAAGATACAATAATTAACAAAATCACTTTAAATTTCATATAATTTTGATTGTTTAAAATTTTATAGAAATATAAAAATACTGATTTTTTTATTGTTTATTTATTATATATAAAAATATGTAATTTCGATATTTTGATGTAAATTAATAATATAGTAAGAAAAACTGCAATTTTGGTATGATTGTACTTCCATTTTCTTAAGTAACAAAATTACATTAAATTTCGTTTGTTAATAATTGTTTGACATTGTTTATATAATATAAGTTTATAATTCTGATTGTTTGAAATTATATAAAATTTAATTTTAAAAAAAATAGAATTGAAGTAAATTATTAATATAGAAAGGAAAACTGCATTTTTTGAAAACTTAATACTTACCAAAATAACTCACAAATGTTTATAATTGTATTGTTTTGTTTTTTTGATATTATATAAGAATAAATAAAAAAATACAATTTATTAAAGTAAATTAATAATATTTGTAAATCAAATATGTTATTATTTTCATTCTTTGATTATTATATATAAAATATAAAAATTTAATTAATTTGTGATTAAAATATAATTAAAACAATTCAATAAACGCATGAATTAAAATTATATTACAAAATTTAATATTCGCTTATTTCGAGTAGATAATGGATTAATTAACTTCCCAGAAGATTCTTTTCATTAGCAACAAAATATTATCAAACAAACAGTTTTTTTTTATAAACGGATGCAAATTGTTTAATCGATTTTGATTATTTATCGTTCCGGTGTAAAGTTTTCTCCCACTTAAACATTGAATATTTGTTTATCTGTGCAAACGCATGCAGAGGAACAGGTTTTTTTTTTACTGTGTTTGTATTATTTAATTTAACGCACGATAACGTAAGAGTCGGCTGTTGCGTAACCTTGAACGTCGCCACCGCTTAAATATTGTGGCGTGAGTATGTAAGACCGACCGTTTCTTTATTCATTCATCGTGCTGTCTCGAGTTAAGCCGCATTGTGGTGTGCTTGCACACAAATATATGAAAACTGAACAAGTAAACCTTTAGAAAATGTGCTACAAATTAAATGAGTGATTTAACTGTTTATGGATTACATTAGTGTATTTATAATGAGTATATTTTTATACTGACAGTGATAAAAAGAACATGTGTTTGGTAAGTATGTTGGAAAACAGTATTATCATGTTATTTTTAACTTTAGTTTGGAGCTGCACCAACCGTGTTTTTAATTGATTGAGTTTAAATGTCAAGTTTTCGTAGTTGATTCAATGGAATGCATTTCTCAAATGCAATTAATTTTAATTAACTCATAAATATGAATTAGTCATCAATATAAAAGATTTATCACCTAATGACTAAATATGATATTAATGAAACTTTATTTAAACAATTCATAGTAAATTATATTTTTGTCCTTTGGTCTTAATAGAATCATTAAATCTTTGCAAATAAATAATAAAATAACATTTTTTTTTGCATATTTGAAGAAACTAAAGTATTTGATTTATTAAATGCAATTAATTTTAATTTAATTATAAATATACAATATTTAGCACCTAATTAATCAATAAATCTTTGTAAATAAATATGTAAGTAATCAAATAACATATTTTTTTTATGTCGTAATAATTTTATTCACAATCTGTTCATTAATGTAAACATTGAGTAAATTTGAGATCGCAGTTGACATTAAATGGATAAGCTTTTCCGGTGGATATTTACTATCATGATGATTTTGAACATTAATATTTACTTAAATCTATATAGTAAATCTAATGGTTTGCAACGCTTCGGCCTGTTTGTGGTTTCACTGATGTCGAGTAGACCAATAGGCAGAACATTAGTATTCAGTCTATCTTGCTATATACTACTAAATGTTGGTATTGTATCCTCGATCATATTTATATGAAGATCTTCGTGTATTTGTTTATTCTTGACGAACCACGGAGCCCTAATAATATTTCTTAGGTATTTTGATTGGAAGCTTTGTATAATTTGTATGTTCGTATGTTTACTGGCTGCACCCCACAATTGGATACTATACGTCCATACTGGTTTCAGTATTACTTTGTATATAAGTAAGAATTTTGTAAACTTCATTTCTAATTGCTTCCTCTTAGTCTGAATGTGATCTTTTCAGGTGAGTCTTCTGTCAAGATGCATGCCTAGATATTTGACTTTTGTTGCTTTGGACAGATCTGGTCCATTTGTTAAGTCATTCTAGTAGCTTATCTAAATTTTCCTGTAGATATTCAGTGCTATTGCTGGATTCTCATCTAATGCCAAAATTGCTGTATCATCAGCGAAAGTTGCAATAGCAGTATTGCTAGTTTTAGGAATATCTGCCATGTATAGAAGGTTAGAAGGTAAAGGAGTAGTCCTAAAACACTTCCCTGCGGCACTCCTGATTGTATCTTTTACTTGCCAGATAGATGATATTTACTATTCTGTTTACTTGCTCCATGCCGTGTTTGCAAAGAAAGCCAAACTGATGGTCTGATATCAGCTTATTTCACGCTATAATACTTTGCAACCGGTTAAGAGTTTTGCATATTTGAAGAAACTAAAGTATTTTATTTATTAAATGCAATTAATTTTAATTAATTTATAAATATACAAGATTTAACACCTAATGAAGTTTAATATAAATCAAATTAATTTTAATTTTTTCTCCTTTGGTTTTAATGGAATCACTAAAGCTTTTAGAATCAATGAATAATAAAAATGTTAAACAAAAAATTATTTTATTAAATGTAATTAATTTTAATTAACTCATAAATATTAATTATTTATCAATATAAACGTTTCATCATCTAATAATTAAGTGTGATGTTAATAAAAATTTATTAAACAATTCACTGTAAATTATTTATTTGTCATTTGGTTTGCGATTTTTAAATATAATTAAATTTAATGTGATATTAATTTTTTTTTTAAACAATTACATTTTTGTCGTTGTGTCTAAATTTAATTGATAATTTTAAAGAAAATAAATAAATAATTTGAATTTGAAAAAAAAAATGTGATTGATATAATGTAATTAATTCTAATTAACTCATAAATATAAAAGTTTTACCAAGAGAGAAGTTAATCAAATTTTATAATAAAGCTTTGAAAATAAATTATTAACACAAATTTGTGTACAGTTGGAAAAAAAAGTATTTATTAAATCAAATGGAATTCATTTGAATTATCTCATTAATATAAAAGTTTTATAACCTAATAACCATATCACACTTGATTATTAGGTTAGAAAAAATTATTAAACAATCGCTGCAAATTATATTACTGTTCTTTGTTTTTCTAATTACTTTAATAAATAATATATATTTTTGAATTTGTATGATAAAAACGAAATTAATAAAAAATCTGAAATAAATTTTACATTTTTTGTTACTTAAAACTTAAAAACACTATAAATTATGGAAAAATAAGAAAATTTACATTTTCATTACTAAATAAATTATTTCAAACTCTTGTAAACTATAAATAATAGTAAATTATATTATTGCTCTTTGATTGTGATTTATCAATGTATTAAGAGAAATCACATATATTTTTCGATTTGTTGGATAAAAATTACTAATTTACGAAATTAATAATAAATATTAAAATTGTTTTTATTAAAACTAATTAAATTATTTACTAAAAATATTATCAGTTTTACAATAAATAATCGGTGAATTGGGGTATTCAGGATGTTGAGCAATTAATAATTTGAGGAAATTACCCTAAATGAGGAAAATATCCACAAAATGTATTTCTCCCTCACTTTTGTTATTGGTAAAATTCCAAAATTAAATCTGGTGATATTATAAACTTATATCAAAATAGCTATGAATTAATATGTAACTGGTTATTGGCCGTAAGTCATGATCAGAAGAAAATACGTGAAGGTGAGCAACTTGTACCACACTTTATTATTATAATACAAGCGTTCATTTAAAACAACGCAATTTGATGAAAATTTATATCGAAATATAAATGAATATAAAAACCCTTGACTCGAATTAATGAAGTGTCACAGGGAATGGATGTTCGCAATCAATTAAATCTAGTAAAATAATGGTTAGTTATTTCGTATATTCAGGCCATAGAGAAAGTGCACTCAATTAATACCAGTTGGCTGCGTTTTATACGCAGCGAATTTAAATTGACAGACAATTTATACTTGTTTAATAATTCGTCCGTTCGAGATATCTTTAAAGCAATTTAAACTAGTTTAATTCTTTCTAAGTTTGATTTATAGTTGAATATTCGAAGTGCAATCGTGTAATTAAAATTTGGACGTAATCGTGTTAAAAACAATACTTGAAAATGTAAACGAGTTGATTAAAATATATTTTTCCTAGTATAAATATACGTAATTCAAAATTGACTTATTGAAAACATGTTAATAAAGATATTTGAAATCGGGAATTAATAATTTATTTATCAAGAAAATGCTAGTTTTACAATTTTTTGTTTCAAGAACATTTCAAGAAAAAAAGAGATATTATAGCATAAGTCAATAGTTTCTACAAATATGTTTTTGTTTTATACTTGAACATTAAAATGTAATCATGAAATTCAAAAATTGACATAATTATAGTAATAAAACGTGTTTTAAAAGCGGTAATCAAGATTTTCCTAAAAAAATATTTCACTTCTATGAATTTATTTAAGAAATTTTCACATACAATTTTTATAAATATTTTTTTATTTTATAATTAAATTTCAATATTTAATCATATAATTTCAAAGTAATTATAGTAACAAAATTATATTCAAACAAGATTTAAAAGCGTGAATCAAGAATGTATTTAAAAAAAATAAGTTGTACGAATTTATCTATTCAATTGACGTAATTATTGAAGAAAAATCGTGTTAAAAGAGATTTTAAAACATGAGTTAAGAGTATATTAAAAGGTACAAAAATAACATCGGGTAAAAGCGACAAAAACTTGATGTTCAGTTTTTAAAAGATACATAATTTATTTATTTAAAAAAATGTTATTATTTATCAAAATTATCATTTTTTTTTAAATGCACTATGAAGGAACGAAGTACATTTGAGTAATTAAAAAAAAAGTGAAATAATAACAACAAAAATGTGCGAAGAAGTATAAAAAAACATGAGTATAAAGTAAATTAACGTAGTTCAATGTTTTGATTAAAAACAAATCTTTTGATAACGTGAATGAACAGTTTTCATTTAAATAGTTTCAAATGTAACGTAAACTATAGACACGTTTTTAAGATAATTAACACTTTCTAAATCTTTCATACTCGAGAAATTTTTAAATCTATTTTATTAATTTTGAGTATACTTAAAACATCAAATTTGCATAGTTTATTTTTGGCAAATGTTGATTTATTGTGTTAACTTCAAAATGCATTCATGTAGTTCGAAAAGTTTGTTAATAAAATGTATTTGAAAGCGTGAATCAACAGTTTATTAAAAGAGCATTACGCATGAGGAAGCTAGATCAATATCTGAATTTAATGCGGGACACAAATAATACACATATATGCACCGACGCAATTTTCTTTATTCAAATGATAATTTTAAAAGCGGGGAATATTCATATAACATAAAGTACTCGAAAACAATGATAGTAGATTCATTTGTTAGGTAAATTATTTTATGTGAACAAAAAAATATGACATGAAATTTTTCAAAAGTATTTTTTAGACTATAAAATACACGTTTTTATTGAAATACTTTTATTGAGTCTCAAAATTTAATCCAATAACCATTAGTAAATACATTAGGTTAACGAATAGTTCGGACTGCGAACAAATCTGATAACGAACAGTTTCACAAAAGATTTGTAAGGACAACGAACACATACTCGGATAACGTACAATTTTCTGTAAGATTTGTACGGACAACGAACACATATTCTTATAACACACACTTTCAAGAAAGATTTCTACGAACTACAAATACATATTTGGATAACGAACACTTTCACAAAAGATTTTTAAAGACAACGAATACATATTCAGATAACGTACACTTTCCTGAAAGATTTGTACAGACATTGAACACATATTCGAATAACGAACATTTTTGCGAAAGATTTGAACGAACAACAAAAACATATTCGGATTACCTTTTGATATTACTTTTAGAAAATAACTCTAATGGTAATATGAAGCTTATAACTGTTTTTCAATCGATTATACATTTTTTGAATGCATATTATTATTATCTTAAAAATATAGTAAATATAATTTCTTGTGGTGAAAACTGGATAAATAGATAATATAAGCGTGTGTATTGAATGTTCGATTGCTTAAATTAAATTTACGTTTCAGAGAATGCCGGTTGTACCAAAGAGGAGATGCAACTTATCTTGCCTTCTATTCTTCGGATTGATCATCCTGATCAGCGGAGTATGTCTCCTGTTCTTAACCCCAACAATAATGAAATGCATATTGGAAAGTAAACTAGGCATGAGTCCAAACTCTAAGGTGTTCAACATTTGGAAGAAGAGCGATGGCAGCACATTCATGGAGATTTTTTTTCACAACTGGACAAATCCAGGTGACGGACACGATCCAACAGTAAAGCCCAAGTTTGAGGAAATCGGACCGTTCCGGTTTCGAGAGTTCAAAGAGAAGTTGGACGTGTCGTGGAACGATGACGAGACGATCAGCTACAAGCAGAAAAAGAAGTGGATATTTGATAGGAACAGCAGCTGCTGCAGCTTATCCACTAAGCTGACCACATTGAACGCAGTTTTGGTTGTACGTGAGTTTACGAATTTCAAAACATTTCATTGGAACTAATTTTACAGATTTTTTTGTTGTTGTAGACGATGTCTCACAAGTCTAAGGACTGGAGTTTTCCGTTCAAATCAGGTATAAATTTGGCATTGAAAGCGCTAACACCTAACCTGTACGTAACGAGGAACGCGAGTGAATTGTTATTCGAAGGATACGTGGATCCGTTGCTGGAGATGTCCACCTTATTTCCGGTGAAGTCTGTGTCTCCAGACGGAAAATTCGGATGGTTTTATGGGGTAAATCTGTTGCAGTCTCGTAGTGAAAACAAGTAAATTTTGTATTTTTTTTTTAGAAAAATGATTCTGCAGGTTTAGATGGAAAACTGAAAATCGATGTTTCCGCAGGCGGGAAAGGAACGATGAAGACGTGGAACGGTTTCCCGGAAACTAAGTACTTCAAAGGACTTTGCAGCAAAGTTCTTGGCTCAAATGGTGAAATATACCCACCGGGTAGGACCAGAGACAAAGCTTTGTTCTTCTCGCCTGATATGTGCAGAAGCGTTACTCTGGATTATGAGAAAGACATTAAAGTCCACGGCATCACCGGATACAAGTACATAGCTCATAAGAGCATGCTCGATAATGGTAAGCGGTACATCCCCAAAAAGATTACTCAACTCTTTGGAAACTCTGCAAAATAATCTTTGCTTTAATCCTCTGAGCTCTAAAAATAAAACAACACGAAAAGTTTACTCTTCTTGGGGACTATAAGTAGGTTTTTGTTTAAATCCAGAAGTTCGGTCATTAATCATGAATATTCTAGGCAGTTTAGTACCTGAGAATGAATGTTTTTGCAACGGCATGTGCATGCCCTCCGGTGTACTTAACATGTCTTCTTGTAGACACGATTCACCGTCGTTCATAAGCCTCCCGCACTTTCTACACGCGGATCCGATGTACGTGCACAGCTTGGATGGTATAATCCCCGAAAGAGATCGACACCAATTTTTCGTCGTCCTGGAACCAGTAAGATCAACAAATTTTAAAAAAAAGTTATGCTCCAGTTTATGTTTGTAGAATACAGGATTACCGCTGAAGGTAGCCGCAAGAATACAGCTGAACATGCATTTGAAACCCATCGACTATATGACGTAAACTACACTCATTTCTGTAATTTTTTAAAAATTTAATGATTTTATTGTGTTGCAGTTTAATAAACGACGTACCTAACGTCATGTTTCCGATCCTGTGGTTCCAAGTGCAGGCCGAAGCTTCCAATGAATTTGCGTCTCAGCTGAAGATGCTTTTCAGTCTTCCCATAGTCTTTAAATCGATCGCTGCAGTTCTTCTCACCATCGGTCCGCTTATAACAACTTACGCTCTGTACGGGAAGAGGCGCGATCGTGAATTAGCAAACATCGAGGAGAGAGAGCAAGTCCCACTGAAAATCAGCAAAATCGTCAACTAGATTTACATGGATTATATACCAAAGATTATTTTTTTTTAAATCGATGCCCTGAGGAAAAAACTAGTCAATCTAAACGTAATAATAATTTTTATATGGACCAAGTGAAAATCCCTTCGTTCAAAAATGAATTTTCTAATTTTATATTATTATAATTAATATCATTTTTAATAAATTGTTTCTGAATGTTCTTAGTTTTTATTATATTTCTGTTACCGTTAAATTTGTACCTTTAAAATAATAATTTTGATATTTTTCAAGTACGTCTTAAAAAGCAAATTATTTTTGTTTGATAAGATTGATTATTCCATTTTTCTGCCATTTTGAACCGTTTTTTTTAATACATTATCAAAAAAAAAGAATTATACGATTTCAGTGTTTTGAATCATTTCTTTAAAGTTAAATGATCAATTTTGAAATATTAAAGAATAAATGTATAAGTCAACAAAAATAAGAAATGTGATGTTGTGTCCAACTGTTATTATTACAATTATTATTGTTAATATAGTGTATTAACAAATTAGAGACATTCACGGTCTCTTAGTCGCCTTATTATATAAACATATACATCAGCATAAAGGAACCTTCACCGTGTGACCGATTGTAACATTTCTTCCTATTTTCAACTGGAAACCAGGCGCAGACTAGGCAGTTTCATCGATACCAAATACTGATAAGAACATCGCTCATATTTTCAACTGGGAACCAGATGCAGAATTGGCAAAATCCGTATAGGAGAAGTGACCTGAAGCGGAGCGTCTTATCAAAACCGTGCGTTACTGCTCAAACTCCCACCACCTTGCTTAGTTAGTCTTAGGAAGAACGTTAAAGAATCAAGTCGTATCGAATATTTTAATAAACCGAAAGTAAAACTCGTTCAATTTATTATTTATCAAACCTAAGGCTCCACAACAGACAACTGAAGAAGATATTCCACAGTGTCCATAAATCCATTCCTGGGACAGTGAATTTAAAACGAACACACAAAAAAAAAATACAATTTCTTCAAAAAACAAGTTGTTAATTTAAAAGCAACATAAAGATGATATTACACTTTATTATTGAATAAATTGTATATAACTATTTCATATAAACCAACAAAAAAAATTCTTTCATAATTAAAAATTGAATTTTTTTTTTGAAATATTTTTATATGAATTCATAATTCAAGTCATTCAAATTAAGTAACAGGTACATTTATTGCTATTAATTAAATAAATTTCATGTCTTCCATATATTTATTTTTACTATGTAATTTCAAAAATAAAGTACCATCATCAAGAAGTAATTCTTATATTTTGTTAAAAACAATATTACAGAAATACCTCGTATATCCTTGAAATCCGGTTTCAAAGATTTTAGATTCGCATTGAAATAAAGAGATTTGAATAACGCAAAACAACCGAAAATTTCTGTATAAAAAAATATTTTGTGATCCGGACTGATCGAGGCCTTACTATGCGAGGTATTGCTGCACTTAGTTTAAATGAAACGTAAGAAGGACAAAATAAACATAATAATTTAAAAACAATTTTACAAAAAACAATAAGTTATGTTTATGCACACAAAATTGAATCATAATATTTTTTAAGAAGTAATAAACAAACTGTTTTTAAATTCAATCTTAATAACTACTAATTATCGTTTTTTAAAGTACATAAATCTGTGCATAACAGTTTTTCAATTATGAAAGAATTTTAAACCATCTTATTAATTCCATATAATTGCAATTCAATAACAGACATGTTTTCGCAACAAACTTTCAAACAATAAACGTTAGTAAGATAAAATATGTTGTTTCAATTACAAACTTTTAAAGTGCTACAACTCGATAATTATTAACACTATTTAATGTATTTTTTCAATAACCATTATATGCAGATGCCGAAGTACCTCAGATAGTACGGTTTTGATCAGTCCGGTTAGAAAATTCATATATCAAAATAAATTGTATATTATCGTTGATCTAAAGTTTTTAATTTTGTCCGGTTTCAAATAGTTAAAAATTTGTTAAATGATTGACAAATTTTGTAAATAATAATAAAAAAACAATTTTTGTTAATTTTTTCCATATTGCAATAAAAAAAATATATATACTATTAATTTATTTACAATATCAAAGTAATAAATTAGTATTAGAATTGATTGCTTAAATTATATAACAAAGACAATTCGTTGAAAATCAATAGAGAACAAAATGTTTTGATCTTCAAAGTTTTAGTTTCAAATTTCACTTGAGCCTAATGCTATTATTATATTTGGTAAAAACAAATTAAGAAAACAAAAAAGTATTTGTCAGAAATTAAATTAAATTAAAACATCAATATAAAAAATAACTTCAATATAAAAAATTATAAACCAAAAAAGAAATAATTATGATTAATTATTTTCATTGGCCGATAAAGATTGTTTTTAATATAATGAACAAGATAAGATAATTGTGACAAAAAAGCAAAGAGAAATCGGTATGATTTAGGGACATTATGTATTGGAAGAGTACAATAGACTTCTGTATAACACGGTTAAAATATTACGCAAAATCGTGTTGTATTTCGTGTTTTATCTCTTGTAGCACGAATTATATTGCGCGTTGTACGGGAATGGAGTTACTTAAAAAATTGATAAAAACTCACGTTACACGAATATCTACTGTAAAATAAATATATAATTTAAAGAGAGAAGTATACGGTTTTCCGGAAAGATTTTTCACGAAACTTAAAAATCTAAACTTTTAGATATAGATATATATTTTTTAATATATTGATCTATGAACCTCTGAAAATTTAGTAGGCTTTTCGTCAAAAAACGTCTTCAGGTGGTTTTTTATATAGACTAAACATTAATCGTTCTTGTAGTTAATGGAATTTTGCAAAGACCCAAATTTTTGGAAATCGGAATGTGGTGAATACTATGGTTGGACAAATACAACACTACAAATATAATAGGCCAAATGGGAAGGGGTTTCCAGAAGGAAGCTCATTATTGAAAGAAGAAGAAGAAATATAATAGCTGATATTGTCGTGATTTTTATCCGTTAAATTCTGCAAAATTCATATATCTTAACGGTTTATGTAAGCAAGCTTCAAAAACGTTTCTCGACAATTGTTTTTGATATTCTGAATGTTCATTCATGTGTCGTGTAGTGCAGATTTTTTTCAATCAATGTGTTGATTTCATCGCCATTACTAGCAGAATTTGAAGGCTAAAATTTGGCTTTACAATAATAAAAAAAAGTATCAAAATCTATAATGCACTTTGCACTTTAGTCATCTTCACTAAATATGTCAGATTCAGTTGATCCAAACAAATATTTTTTCTAAAGATGGAAAATGTACACAAGTTCATTCTTTTTCATAATTCTGATATATTTAGACATCGTCAATAGTACTTGATTATTCAGATAACCCAATATTCTTGGTCTTATATATAAAATTAAAGAATTTGATGATGTAATTGTGGAAGATTTTGTAATACGGAGATCATTGAAAGGAATATTTGTATTTTTTGCGGATGACAGAAGGTTTTTAGGACTGTATTGGGAAACCATATTCAGGGCAATATGGACTTTAGAATTAGAAGTTTTACAATGAAAGGATATTTCGGAGCTACAGAAGGTCATTGATTATATTCCTATTCAATATAACGCGCATTAATTATTTCAAAATAATTAATGTGTGTCGCTTAATCTTCCCTCTATTTTGCAACAGATATAGTTCTAGATATACAATTACATATGATCAGTGAAATGCGAAAACAAGAAATGACTCGAACAAACAAAAAACTTGATATTCATGTTAAGTTGCAAAAGAATGCCAAAAAATATTTCAAAAAAAGTAGACCCAAAACTCAAAGATGTAGACTTTGATATTTAGAAACTCATTTTCTTATTAGGTTATAGAAAAAATCTTAATTTATGCCATCTAATTATAAAAGCAAAAACAAATCTGTCTGTGATATAATACAACAAATACGATTCAAACTAATTTAATGGCTAAATCACAAAATACAATGTAAACAAAATTATGAATAGAAATAAAACAATAAATGTTTTTAATTTACTTATATACTATTTGTTTAGTTATTCTCTTATTGGATATAATTAGTCTATAAAAATCCCTATTTATTTTAAAAAGAAAATACATCAATACTTCGCATAGTGCGGATTCTTACAATGCAAATTCACTATTGAATATTTTATAAGAAACTAAATTTTAATTCATCAAAAAAATCTAAAAAAATAGTATACTAAATTACTTTTTTTGATATATAAATAGATTTTTGTATACAGTCAAGTTTCTTTACTTATGCATTTAGTTCCTCGATTAGTTCGGTTTCAAATAGTACACAATGTACAAAATTTAATTGATAAAAAAAATAATGATAAATTTATTTGCTATTTGTTTTTTACTATTTGTTTGTTACTTGTTTCCTGGGATTTCCAAGAAATTTTCTGAGAAAAAATCCGTGAAATATTAATCTCTCGTTTTGTGAAGAAAATATAATCATTGAATGACAAATGTTAATTTCTTGTTGGAAAGACTGCAGACAATACCAAATTTAGTTTACTTATTTAATATTTGTTTCCCGGGATTCTCGAGAACAATTATGGGAAAAAAAAATCCGGGAAAAACGAACATCTAGTTTTGACTATCCTCTTTGATATTAGCATAGCTAAGAAAAATAAATCAATTCAATGATAAATGCTAAGTACTTAATGGAAAGACAGCGACCAATAGCAAATTAAGTATACTTCTTTAATATTTAATTCCCGGGATTCACGAGAAAATATATAAAAAAAAACTCTCCAGTTTTGACTAACTTCTTTCGTAATGCAAATGAATGATAAATGTTACTTCCTTAATGAAAGTACGGCAGTCAATACCAAATTTAGTTTAATTCTTTAATATTTAATATAAATGAGTAATTTTATATTTATTTCCCGGGATTCTCGAGAATATTGATGGAAAAAAATCATGGAAAACTTAACTACTAGTTTTGACTAAACTCTTTGATACAATAAATGAATAAATAAAACCTCAATACAATATTTTAAGTTGTATGATAAACACAATAACTTAGTTCACTTGCAAAAAATAAGAGATGACCAAAACGAGCGCTGTAGACAAACGTGCAGTTACAGTGAACTAACAACAATTTTTTTTTTTAATTAAATAAATTGACCTGTTTTTTTTTATATTTAGAAAAGTAATGTAATTATAATCTAATATTTTCATAAAATTATAATAATTACGACAGGTAATCACAGGTATCACATTTGTGACACAATCATATGTAAATTGCATTGTCAGCATCGGTGCACAGATTAACATTTCATATTTATTTATTTTTTATCTAATTATGTGAATGGTGGAATGATTTGCAAATATCATCGGAACCTACAGCAATTATACAATTATACGCACCGGCAGTAAAATAAAATTTAATTAATATTTTTTTCTCTCGTAATGTTGTTTACCTATGTATATGGAAAATACTATTTATAAATGTTATTGTCAGTCGTATATTATTGATAATTACTTTAAATAATTAAACGTTAAAAAGAGAACTTATGAAATTCATTTGTAATTCATAAAGACGACAAAACATATAGAAAATTTAATTTATAAGATTTATTTGTGTTACGAAAAAATCTAGAATATTAGTACAATACATTATGTTTAAATGATTTTTTGTATACAGTCAAATCTGTTTACGGCTTCAAATAGTCCGGGATATTGACGTAATCGATTACCTGCTCATGCAAGATATTACTATTGTATTTGTATATTGTGTACAAAATTTAATTGAAAAACTGATAAATTTAGTTTACTTATTTGGATTCTCGAGAACATTTATGAAAAGAAATCCGAGAAAAACGAAAATCCAGTTTTGACTATCTTCTTTGATATTAGCATAGCAAAGAAAAATAAATCAATTCAATTTTAAATGCTAAGTACTTCATAGAAAGACAGCGAGCAATACCAAATTTAGTTTATTTATTTGTTTCCCGGGATTCTCGAGAACATTTTTGGAAAGAAATCCGAGAAAAACAAAAATCCAGTTTTGACTATCTCCTTTGATATTAGCATAGCAAAGAAAAATATATCAATTCAATGATAAATGCTAAGACATCGAACAATACCAAATTTAGTTTACTTTTTAATATTTGTTTCCAGGGATTCTCGAGAACGTGAATGAAAAGAAATCCGGGAAAAACGACCATCTAGTTTTGATAATACTCCGGACTATTCGACGACTAATACTTTTTTAAACAGTACTATTCCAGGACTATAAAATTGTTCAAAAAATAAGGAAAATTTAATTTCTGTTTTTTCTCTCTTAATATTTAGCACAAACCGGACTAATTGAGTACTAGTACTATTTTAAACAGGACTATTCGAGGACTTTAAAATTGCACTAAAAATAAAGATTTTTTTCTCGTAATGCTGTTTACCAATGTCTATGGAAATTATTATTACCTAATGTTTTTATATGTCCAATATGATTTATGATTAATTTTATTAATTAAACATTAGAAATAAAATTTTTGATAATTTATTTGTAACACAAAATTTCAAACCGGACTAATCGAGAACTAGCACTGTTTTAAACTCGTCTATTCGAAAAATATAAGGAAAATCTACTTTCTGTTGTTTATTAATCTCTATGGAAATTATTGTTACGGAATGTTTTTATATGTTTAATGATTAATTGTAATAATTAATAGCTACAATTAAAATTTGTACAAAAATTAAGGAAAATGTAATTTCCACTTTTTTGATGTTGTTTTGAACATTTCAAACATTCGAAGACTACTACTGTTATAAACCAGACTTTTTAAAGACTATAAAATTGTATAATAAAATAAACAAAACAAAAGAGATTTTAAACCGGACTATTCGAGGATTTTAAAATTGCACAAAACATAAACAGCACGGAAAGCGACTTGACTATATAAAGGAATTTTATTGTCATTTATGAATAGTTTTGTGTACTTTTTTTTTAGAATTATTTATTATTTTTCTGTATTAATTTTAATAATTAAATGTTACAAATAAAATTTATGTTTTCTATTTGTAATACAAAAAAAAATCATATGAGCTTTTTGTTCAAATATATAACAAAAATATGTCTTTTGCAAAAGTTATATAAAAACTAAATTTTAAAAAATATAAAGGTAGATGAGTAAAATTATTAATATTGACCTTATGATTTTCCGTCGAACTATATCAAATGCAATGCCGCATAGTCCAGCTTCGATCGATCCGGATTCACCACAGTCCGGTTTGAACATTTACAAAGCAAATTAAATTTTATCTCAGGAAACTAAATAAATACTATCAAATAGTACACAAAACTATTATTTTTATGTACATTGTCTTATTTTTTTCTCTAATACAGTCAAGTTTATTTATATTTTATTTATTCAAAAATTTCTGGATATTGGCGAAACCGGACTATTCGAGGTATTGCATTGTAATATGAATATAATTTTTGCCCAAATTTATAATATTTTTTATTATAATTTATAGAATCTTTGTTCCCAATTTTTTGTAAGATTTGAAAATGGGAATTGCTTTATTTTTTTGTGTAGGAAAACAATGCTGTTTAGAAGACGGTCATTGGCATTCGTGTTAATCTATAAATGAAATCATATTAGGACCGCCAAAAGGTGTTGGACCGTCGCCAGGAGATGCTTCTTTTTCGTTCTTTCTTTAAGGTATAAAGAGCTATTATAGGAAAATCTATTAACGAACCTTGGATTTTATGCATTTCGATTAAGAAACATATGCTTTGGGTCATAAAGTCATGATTACAATATCTTATTTAGTAAAAATTAATAAATAAACATGAACATGCTTCAGCATATAACTTTGTAATCTGTTTGGAACCGGATTAATCAATGAACTCAATAAACAGCACAAAAAGAGGCTTGTATCTCTGGAAGAAGAAAACGATTGTATACGAATAAAATAACCGGACTATTCAAAGACATTACTGTTTTAAAACGTATTATTCGACTTTATTAAAAAATAATTTTCAATACTATTTTTTTTTTAATTTATTGTTTATATTTTTCACAATGCAAATTTAGTTTGTTTTAAACTTTTCAAACCGGACTATTCGAAGACTTCTACTGTTTTTAACCGGACAATATGTGAATACACAGATGTATATATGTACATTTATGAATACAAAAATAATTTCGTTTATTTATTTTTGAGAATTTATTTTTATTTTGCTCAGTGAAAATTTTGTTTATTTTGAAAATTTTAAACCAGACTATTCAAAGACTTGAAAATTCCACAATAAAATAAATAGCACAAAAGAAATTTCAAACCGGACTACTGCTGATTTAAGCCGGACTATTCGAAAACTAATACTGTTTTAAACAGGACTATGCAAGAACTTTGAATCCGCATACAAAATAAACTTCAGAAAAAATACTTGATTTTATAGAAGAAGAAAAAAAAAGATTATTCTTTTATAAAAGAAATATTTTTTTACTAAATTTTCAGAATTTATTATTATTTTGCTCAAATAAATTCCAGTATTTTTTGAGTCGTTCAAACCGGACAGTTCGAGGACTACTGCTATTTTAAACTGGATTATTCAAGGACTTTCAAAACGCACAAAAGTAAAGTTGATTGTATAAAAGATTTTTTTTGCGATCTTTTATGTAAAAAAAAATAATTTTATTAAAATTCAGTTTCTTTGTGAAACCGCAGGTATAGCGAATCCGCATTGACCTAAGCCGCACTATTAGAGATACTGCTTTATAGTTAATCCGCATTATGCGAGTTATTGCTGTATAGTGAATCCGCATTGATCTAAGCCGCACTATGCGAGGTTTTTTTGTAAATTGAATCTGCATTGATCAAGGCCGCATTATGCGAAGTATTGCTGTATAGTGAATCCGCATATATCTCAGCCGCACTATGTGAAGTATTGCTGTATAGTGAATCCGCATTTATCCAAGCCGCACTATGCGAGGTATTTTTGTAAAGTGAATTCGCATTGATCAAGGCCGCATTATGCGAAGAATTGCTGTATAGTGAATCCGCATTTATCTCAGCCGCACTATGTGAAGTATTGCCGCATTTATCTCAGCCGCACTATATGAAGTATTGCTGTATAGTGAATCCGCATTATGCGAGGTATTACTGTATAGTAAATCCGCATTTATCTCAGCCGGACTATGTTAAGTATTGCTGTATAGTGAATCCGCATTTAACCATGCGAGGTATTGCTGTATAGTGAATTGACCATTGACCTAAGCCGCACTATTCGAGGTATTCCTTTACTGTTAATCCGCACTAGGCGAGATATTACTGTATATGTAAAATAAAAAAGGTGTTTGATTTATTAACCTGTCATTAAGTTTAGAGCCATGAAATGAAGATTATTTACTCGAATACTTTTTTGATAAATGAATGCTAAATGTTTATTGATTCCATTAGCCTTGGACCAGAGCTAATTAAATAATCTCACTTTGCGGTAATTAAGGACGTAACCTTAGATGTAATTCAACGCGAATAAGGTATATCCAGATCAACGCAAATTCTAGTTTAGTTTGCCATAAAATGTATCCAAAGAAGACGTGTGTTAAATTGAAAACTAAAGTTTTGATGTTACGCATATGTCAACAATGTTTGAGGTCCTTGTTCAGGACGACGCCCATCTGCTTACCGCATTAAGGATTCATGCATGTTAATGAAGACGATTTTCCTGTCGATTAATCATGGATGGAGCCTCCCCCACCTCCACACCCCAATCACGTAACTTATGGCCAGTTGCTAGATAAGAAATAAATAGTGCATTGCAGTGCTCCAGACTTGACTTGTCTTACAGTTGCTACGATCGCGGCGTTCTCGTACCGTTTCCACCACTTTCTGAAACCAAACTTTCACGTAATCTCGTTGCCGCCGCTGATAGAGTCCACCAGCACTGAAACAAGCTTACAAAATACGCTAATCCCATCCAACACAGACGATGACATAGAAGTGTGCATGCCCCAACGCCGCTCAAAGTTACAACAGAATTCTTACAAACCACGTCTCCTACTGACATTGTGCAGTGCGCAAATACCTTTAATTGGAATTACTTTGCCACGCATATTTATACGAATTGTCGACTGAAATCACGATCATTGAGTTTATCACATTTATTCCAGATGGTAAGTAAACTATTATTATTTTTTTTAAGCAAACTTCAAGAATACAGTAAAAAACGAACAGAATTACCAACATATATTTTTTTATTAAACACAATAACTATTTTTCTTTTAATATAAATAAAACTCAAAAAATAATATTTACAATTGTCAATAATTAAATAGCTTTTAATTAAACGCAAATTTAAATTGATAAACACGATTTAAAAACAGTTAAGCGCACATTGCGACATATGATAATTACCAATGATCTCATTAATTATACATTAAAAATTCATGCATAAGTATTTTTTTTTTCAAAATTTTCATGGTATATTTTAATTTTTATATTTATTACATAAATCTACTCTATATTAAAATTATACATAAGCGAGAACATTGTAAGTGTTTGTATATTCAACTTGCTTTTGATTCATGTCTTGAAGAAGAGCAGTTATCACAAATCTATAAATAAATAATCTAAAATATTGTTTTCCATGTGGCAGATTGTAAATAATAAATTTATTGAAAAAAAAAATAATTTTAGATGTTTTAAATAAAACTTAAATTTTGTAATTAAGTAATTAAAACACATATAAATAAAACTTGTTTATAATTCAAATGTAAATAATATAAATTTATAGTATTTTAATGCAGTAATGTTGTGAGATTCATGAATAAATGTAAAACCAAAATTACAATATTTTAATAATAGGAAAATCATGGAAATTTTGTGAAAATTAGTAGAAAAGAAAATTTATAAGAAATTAAAGCACGTCGTTTTTAGATTGATTGTATAAAATTTAAAACTTATTACAAAAATAAACAAAAAAAAAACTTATTCCAATTTAAGTAATTTTATTGTAACTTTTGGAAATAAAAATGATTGATTAAACTGTTATTGACTGAAAGATAATAAGATAAGATAATTTATATAAAATTAAAGCACGTTTGTTTCAAGTAATGTTAATTTAAATTATATATATTTTTTTAGACTTTTAAGGTATGATATTAATGTCAAGTGGAAAACTTTATATTAGAAACTATGTTGAAAATATGTTGTAAAAATCGCAAAAAAAAAATGAAACTATTAGATGTAAAAAAAAAATCTTTTATTGAATTAGAAATATAAATTATAAAATAATGATTTTTTATTGACTGGAAATTTCGTGAAAATAAGGAAGTAAATATCAATTTTTAGACTTTTAAGGAATGATATTAATATCAAGTGGAAAAAAATGTAACTTTTAAAAAATATGGTTGTTTGAACTTTTATTGAATGAAAGATAATAATATAAGATAGTTTATATGAAATTAAAGCACGTTTCTTTCAAGTATTGTTAATTTAATTTAAATTATATATATTTTTTTAGACTTTTAAGGAATGATATTAATGTCAAGTGGAAAAGGAATAAAATGTAACTTTTATTGACTGGAAATTAGAGAAAATTATGAGAACTTTAAAGAGTATTGTGATTATATTAGAAACTATGTTGAAAATCTGTTGTAAAAATTGCAAAAAAAAATGAAACTATTAGAAGTAAAAAAAAAATCTTTTATTGAATTAGAAATATAAATTATAAAATAATGATTTTTTATTGACTGGAAATTTCGTGGAAATATTGTGAAAATAAGGAAGTAAATATCACTTTTTAATGTAAATTAAAATTTGTCAATTTAATAACAGAAAAATTCGCGGAAATGATTTTGAAAGTCATTAGAAAAACGTCACTCTCAAAAGTAAAAATCATTTGATTTAATTGTAAACTAATATTCTGCATTCAATGATACAAAAAAAACACGAATTGTTTAAAAAAATATGAATTGTGAAAATTGAGAGAAAAAATTAAGATGATTTGTTTAAAATATAAATTATAATTTGTGATTTTTTTATGTGAAAATGAGATGAGAAAATGTGACTTTTGTGTGTAATTCAATGATTTGATTAAAAAATAAATTAAAAATATAATTCTCCTATTACTTACATCAAAAATTAACACAAGAAAATAAATGTGAAAAGCAAGAAAAAAACTTCATTATCTGAAGTAAAGATAATTTGTTTAGATTATATATTACGCAAATGTCTATGAAAATCTTATTCAACACAAAAATATTTTTTTTCAATACTCAGTGGAAAATCACGAAAATCAAGTTAAAAGGTCAATTTCGTATATAAGAAAAAAATATAAATTAAATTTATAATTCAGTTGTTGCAAACACAAAAATTACGCAAGAGGAAAAAATAATTATATGAAGTAAACATAATTTGTTTATATTATAAATTGCGCAAATGTTGTTCAATAACAATATAATTATTTTATTATTGAGAGAATAAAAATCGTGAAAATGTTTGTGAAAATCAAGAGGAAAGGTCAATTTTGGAAGTAAACAAAATTTGCATAAATGTGTATGAAAATCTTATTCAACATAAATATAGTTATTTTATTATTGACAAGAAAAACTTTGATCAGATTAATCCAAAATTATAATTATTCTTTTCTTGACAGGAAAAAAAAACCTAAAATATTTATGAAAATCATGAGAAAAGGTCAATTTCGGAAGTAAACAAAATTTGATTACATGAATCTAAAATTATACTTATTTTTATCTTGACAGAAACAAAAAAACGAGGAAATATTAATGAAAATCATGAGCAAGTGAGAAAAATTATTTGTTTAAAATAAAAATTTAAATTATAATATTCATATTATTGACTGAAAATAATAATTATAATTTTCATTTTTTAGATAGAAAAAATGTGACTTTTGGAAGTAATTCAATGATTTGATTAAGATTTAAATTTGAATTATAATTCACATGTTACTTACACAAAAAAATTGAAAACAAAAATCAAGAGAAAAATTTCATTATCTGAAGTAAACACAGTTTGTAAATTATAAATTGCGCAAATGTCTATGATAATCTTACTCAAGAAATTTATAATTATTCTTTTTTTGACAGGAAAAAAAAAACGCTAAAATTTTTATGAAAATTATGAGGAAGTAAACATAATTTAATCTAATCAAATAAACTAATGCTTTAATGACCTTTTATTGACAGGAAAATCGTATCAGAGTTTAATTGCTGTTACCGAGTTAAATTTGACTTAGGTTAATCAATTCATTAACTCCACTACTTACAGTTCGCACGAATTCGTTCACTCCTGCAACGGATGATAATACAAGAGCCAATTGGAAATACCATGATATATGCAATACCTCGCATAGTGCGGCCAATATTTCGGGACTGTTTGAAACCGTACTAATCGAGGAACCAAATAAAATAGAAATAAATCAACTGAGAGTCTATGCAACATAAATATTTTTGTTTATATTGATCAATAGAAATTTATTTTGATTAGAAATATTCAAACCGGACTATAGCGAAAAAAAAAACACGTTTTAACCTTTATTGACTTGCAATTTGTTATTCATAGATAAAAATCGTTTCATGAAACTGAAAATCAAATGCGCATAAATCTCAAAATAACAAATTGCAATTATACAATATCAGAAATAATTGCAGACGTAAAAATGATAAAACTTAATTATAATTAAGAATACAAAGATCAATAAAATTTATCGTTTTTAGTGATTAAAATTAAAAATTTACTATGATTTTATATAGAAATGTAATGTTATGTTACTATTAATAATTTAATTATTGTTCAAAAACTTAAATTGTATACATAGTATACAGTTGACTAATTATTGTTTATTCGAAAATAATTAATCTATGTAATGTAGTGACGATTATTTGTAAATTGTTAAGTTTGTTGTTGCCGTAATTTCGATGTAATAAAAAAAATCGAAATTGCGGAAAAACATTATAATTGCGAGGACACACAATTCCTTCTGGCATCGCAATTTTCCAATTATATGCATAATTCTTTTTTTCAAACATTACTGCTATAAAATGATTGAATAAAGCTACAATTATTCATTTTCTTAATTAACTAAACATCGTTAATGTTTTAATTACATCATTAATAAACAATTACAAATAAAGATTGTAATATATACGAAGTGAATTCGATAAATACCAATTATAAAATTTAAAAATAAAAACAAAGTCATAATAGAATATTGTTACTCATAATCTTGTGTTTCATTTTAATCAGTTTTATGGTTGTATTCTTTTTTTCAAACGAATATCAACAGTTTTATTTCAATAATAATTGCGCAATAATTAACAGACGATTTTCTAGGGTCGTTAAGAAATAGTTTCGTATTTGCGTTGTTATCATAAACTATGATTGCATAAGAAATAGTAATTACATTTTGCAATAACAAACTTCAGACTAGAATATTATAATATATTGATACAATTTATAGACATTAAATCAAATTATAACTATACATATTTTTAAATGTATTTAATTAATACAGCAATACTTTGCATAGTCGGACTAATATTTTCTTTTAGAATTTATTTTTGTCAACAAAAGTTTTTTTTTTAATTTCCAGACCGAACTTTATATATTTATATATATAAAAAAAAATAATTATGTGTACAATTTATTTTTTTTTTGTCAATAAAATTTAAGTTTATTTTGAAACTTTCACACCGGACTACACTAATACCTCGCATAGTGCGGGTGATCATTTACGCCAATATCCAGTACTGATCAACGACTTTAAAACTGCACTCGACTGTATAGGGAGAGGGAGAGAGAGAGAGAGAGAGACAATCATTTATATATAGGAAACATAATTTTGTGTACAATATTTTTTTTATTTATTTTTATTTTTGTCAATAATGTTTTTTTTTTTAATTTCCAAATTGGACTACAGTAATACCTTGCATAGTGCGGGTGATCATTTCCCCACAATATTTTGCACTGTTTGAGACCGGACATATCAAGAACTTTAAAATAAAATTTAAGTTGTTTTTTTTTTAATTTTCCAAGAGAAAAACTATCATTTATAAATATAAAAAAATATTTTTGTGGACAATTTTATTTAGAACATATTTTTATTTTTCTCAATCAACATTTGGTTTGTTTTGAAATTATCATAGCCGTTTCTATGCGAAGTATTGCTGTTTATTGAATCTGGACTTAACTGAACCGCACTATGCGAGGTTTTGCTATAGTTTATTGATAATATTTTCAGATTATATAAAGTCCATTGTATATAAGACAAAGAAATTGATTATTAAATTTTTCCTGAAAGTTGAAAATTTGTTTGTGAAATGCTTAGCTAGACCAATATACTGCAAATAGTTCTATGTTTCTATTACATAATAAATATAATACCTCGTATAGTACGGGTAATCGATTTCGCCCGTATTCCGGACTGTTTGACAAATTGAGGATTTATATAAAAAAATATTTTGTTTACCAAATTTTGTAGAATTTATTTGTATTTTTTTTTAATTAAAATTTCATTTTCTTTTTAAAATTTTAAACCAGAATACAGCAACACTTCTTATAATACCGGTTTATAGGTTCCGCTAATATCCCGGAGTATTTGAAACCGGACAAATTGAGGATTTATATATAAAAATAATTTTGTTTACCAAATTTTGTAGAATATATTTGTATTTTTTCTCGATTAAAATTTAGTTTTCTTTTCAATTTTTTTTAAACAGAATACAGCAACATTTCGCATAGTGCGGATTAATTGGTTTCGGACTATTTGAAACCGAACAAATTGAGAATTTATATATATATATATATATATGTATGTATAAAAATAAAACTATTCAATGTACATCTTCATCATTAGCTGCTCATTCAGGATATATATATATATATTTTTATTTAACAATTTTGTACAATTTATTTGTCGCAAAGTATTGTCGTAATTAAATGATTTCCATTCTATTATATAAACAAAAAAAGCGATAGTTAAATTTTAAACATTTCTTAAATTCATCCGTCATTCAATATGAACAATTCATCTTTGATAATGAAAGTAAAATAACACTATGCATGTAAACAAAATCTTTATCTGCTCAAGGAGACAAAACAACGTATTCATTTCCAGCTATGGATTCGAAAATAATTGACACGAAACATAATTAAAGAATGACTGGCTCCGATCTTCTATGTCATTTGATCAGGTACACCAAATTAAAAGTTTATTTTTATACATCGTAATTTCTATTCCTTGTTATTTTTCTTTTGCATTCTACATAAACATTATTGTCTACATTCTCGAAAAAAAAAATATTTGTACATGTTTCACATGTTGAACGTGATATATTACTTATTCTTTTCTTCCAATTATTACTTGCAAGTGTGTTCTTTATCTTCGGTTAATTAGTAAAAACTTGATATATTAAGTAAGTAAGAAAATGAACACAACATAAATTAAAGCAACTTGCAAGTATGCTAATATCGGAGCGATTACATTGCACGTGTAAAACAGTTGAAGTGCTAGAAAAATCCATTAGAACAGAAAAAAAACGTGTTCTATTTGGAAGTAAACAAAATTTATATAAATATCAGAAAATAATAATTGTGTAAGTTTCCTTAAACTAAAATTATATCAAAATGTTTTCAATATTTCAATCAAGGTTGCTCCATTTCTTTTATTATGTTGTAATATTGATAAACGTATGTTATTTTTGGAAGTAAATAATATTTATAGAAATTAAGTATGTATTTCTTCAATTTTTTTATAAAATTTTGTTGTTTTTGGTAGTTAATATAATTGATACAAAAATCTCTAAATGTAAATTATTCCTAAACAAAAATGTGTTGTGTTCATTGTGTTGCAATGTTATATAAACTTGTGGTAGGAAATTCATATTCTGTTACAATGGACAAACAAGTGTTCTTGTTGGTATAAAATTTAGAAACAAATTTAATTTAATTATTCACAAATTGAATCAAGATATTTAAATATTTTAATCAATGTTCTGTCAGTTCTTTATTTTATTACATTTTTAGATAAATTAGTGATAGTACAGAAAATTTATAGAAATTTCTGTCAAAATAAATTATATATTTTTTCCTAAACTATAAATTTATCAAATTGCTTTAAATATTTCAATTAACATTGCTTTCTTTCTTTATTCTATACCAATTTTGTATAGAATTTAGTTGCTTTTAATAGCTAATAAAAATATATATAATTATTTAAATTATGTAATTATTACTAAATTCTTTAAGTTTTTCAATCAATTTACAGACATTTTTGTAAATAGAAATTATGTAGTTATGCCTAAACTAAAAAAATAATTAAACTGATTTAAGTATTTCCAACATTGTTGCTTCAGATCCTTATTTTGAGACAATGGTATAAAAACTTGTGTTGTTCTTGGTAGTTAATTAAATTTATAGAAATTTCCTTGAACTCAAAATTCTTTAAATATTTTAGTCAATATTGCTTGAGTTCTTTATTTTGTTATAATTTATAGACAAACAAGTGTTGTTTTTGGTAGTAAATAAAATTTATTGATATAAATTATTTCATTATTCCCAAACTGATTCTTTAATTTGTATCAAATTAATTTCTGTAAAAATAAATTATATTTTTTTAAAATAAAATTAAATCGAAATTAATGTCTTTATGATTGAAAGAAGAACATAAACAAAATGCTTCATGTATTTGAATCATTGTTGTTTCGGTTACTAATTCTGTTGCAATATAAGATTAACGTGTATCGTTTTTGTTAGTAACTAAGAAAATGTATAAAAGTTCTATAAATAAAAATTATGTAATTATTCTTAAACAAAAACATAAATAATATGCTTCATATATTTCAACTAATTTTATTTTATTTCTTTATTATATATAATTTTATACCCAAATTTTGTTATTTTTGATATAAAAACTATAGCAAATTTGGTAGCATATAAAATTTATAGAAATTTCTCTATATATAAATATAAAATTAATCAAAAAAATCCTTTAAGTATTTCAATTATTGCATTTTTATATAAAATGTTGTTATTTTCGGTAATTAATAAAAAAAAATGTTAAAAAAAATTATGTAATTTTTCCTAAAATAAAACTGTAAATATTTCATGTTATGTTTTTCAATATAATACGTTTTTCTCTATTATTTTATGTAATTCTTAAAAAGATGTTTTGGTATTATTATGAGAATGTTTTGGATTTACTTCTTAATGCTCAATATACTTTTATATTATTTTTTCATCAACATTATGTAATATCACTTAACAGTATTAATCTTCATATACTGAGCTTTATAAATTTGCATTGTGAAATTAATTTGTGTTGTTAAATTTATATATTTTTTAATATTGATTTAATAATAATAATAATTTATTGGCCAAACATCGATACATAAGAAGAAGAGAAAAAAAAGTACAATTTATACATAAATAAATTTTAACATACAATAAAAATATATATACTAATAGGCTGGCCAAACGGCTAACGACCGAGGTCTTTCCGCCCAATATTGATTTATTTTTCTGTATTTTGATTTAATTTTAGATTAATATATTAGTAATTATTCTTAAACTAAAACTTAATCAACATTATTTAAATATTTCAATGAATTTTGCTTCAACTCATTAACAGAATGACTCATAAACAGAATTTTAGTTTTTTTTGTTGCTTTTAGTTATAAATAAAATTGTTCTAAGATTGTGTAAACTATGTAATTTTTTCTTTAACTAAAAAATAATAAACAAAATGCATTAAGTATTTTAATCAATGTTGACTTATTTCTTATTATGGTGCAATGTTGTAAAAACTTGTATTATACTTAGAAGTAAATATTTATTTTTAGAGATTTCTGTATAAATAAATTATGTAATTGTTATTTAATGATTAAGTATTTTATTAATTTTTGCTTAATTTCTTAATTATGTTGGAGTTTTATATAACCTTGTGTTGTATTCATAGTAAATATATTTAAATTATGTAATTATTCTTAAATTTAATGAAAATGCTGTAAAGTATTTTTATAAATGTTGCTATAGTTCTTTATTCTTCTGGAATGTAAAATTAGATGTTAAATTATGTTAGGTTAATTTTTCAACAGAATATTTATTTTCGCTGTGGACGTGTCTGGAATCTCGTCAGTTCACAATTTTGCAATTAAAATCCAGTCGCGTCTCCGCAAATTAAATAATTTATTATCTACAAATGCGTAGGCGTTTCGTGCATTGATTTTATCAAGTCATAGCAGCGCAGTCAATTGACAATTAACTCAAAGAAAAAAAGAACATAAACTTTGAACGAAACACGACAAAAACTGTTATTGTGCGATTACAAGAACAACAACAAAAAAAAATAAATTGAGTCACCTGTGTTTTCCATACCATTTCCACGATGTTTTTGTACTTTTTTTTTACTGACAGTATAATAATTTTCATTTGCAGGTGAAGTTAAGCCCAATGCAGCCGAACTACGGCAAACGCAACTGCGGTAAAGTCGTGATCCTCTCCGCCATCAGCATCACTTTGGGGATTTCCCTCTTGGTCACATGGCCACTCATCTTCGATACGGCCCTAAAGTTCGGATCAACTTTATCAAAGAATTCGATGGCGACGAAGATTTGGCAAGAGAATCCGATGCCTTTGTATTTGGACTTCTACTTGATGAACTGGACAAATCCGCACGAGATTTATAACAAAGATGTTAAGCCTAGATTCGTGGAAGTCGGACCTGTACGTTTTCAAGAAACCAAAACAAAGGTTAACATCACTTGGAATGCTAACAACACGGTGACCTTTAACCAGCAGAAGAAGTGGGTGTTCGATGAGGCTGGAAGTGCTGTCGGTTTGGATGTGAACATCACCTCGATCAATCCTGTGACTGTGGTAAGTTTCGAGTTTCTAATTTATATGTTACGGTATTAAATTATTTCGATTAGTCCGGATCGTACCAGGCGCGAAATTGGGGATATTGGATGAAGAAAGGCTTTCAACTCTCGCTGAGTTCCGTTGCTCCTGAGATACACATCACGAAAACAATCGGAGAAATCGTTTTCGATGGTTACGAAGACTTCTTCGTGAGTTTCAGCAAAGCAGTCCCATTTCTATCCAATCTACCTCAGATGGATAAATTCGGTTGGTTTTACACGGTGAGTTTCAATCGTATCCAAATTAATCCCACTAAATTTTGGGTATTTTAGAGAAACAATTCTTATACCTTTGATGGTACTTTCAACATGGACACGTCGCAGGATAATTACGGTGTTTTGAACAGCTGGAATTACCAAGACAAAACCGAAGCCAATCCCGGCAAATGCGGCGAGGTGCGTGGATCTGCCGGAGAGCTCTTCAAGAAACACCATAATCGCACCAACATCGAATTCTTCTCTCCAGATATGTGCAGAACCGTGATGCTCGATTACGAGGAAGATGTTAAAGTCAATAATATCGACGGATATAAATTCTCAGCTGGAATTAGCCTTTTCGACAACGGTAAAACGTGTTTAACCAAATTAAAAAAACTGTAACTTATATAATTCTTTATAATTCAGGAACCTTGAAACCTGAAAACGGTTGCTTCTGCAATGGTGAATGCGTTCCGTACGGTGCTGTGAACGTATCCGAATGTCGGTATGGTACACCGGCTTTCGTCACTTTACCACATTTTTACGGAGCTGACCCATATTATACCAATTCAATTGAAGGTCTACGGCCAGATAAAAATAAGCATCAGTTTTATATTAGCTTGGAACCGGTATGACATTTGCTGCAATTATCTTATGATCTTGTTTATTTTCATTAATATGTCGTTTACTTTATAGACTACTGGAATACCCATTGATGTTTCTGCAAGGTTGCAATTAAATCTTTTATTGCAACCAATTAAATATGTTAGGTATGTATCTCTTTGTATTTAATTTAAAACTTGTAAACATTCATTCTTATCACCCAATTATAAAGTGATTTTTTCTTATAAGACGAATGAATGTTTTTCAAGAATGTCAACTATAAGAAGAAATGATAATATTTTTATCATTCTAGGTCATTAAAGGCTTTTAATAACATAAAAAACTATCGCTTAGTCCGGGTAATAGACCTGTTTGAAACTGTGCTAATCGAGAAAATAAATACATACAAAACATAAACCTTAATCCATAAAGGGAAAAAACACGATCATTTTTGTTGTTACTAATTACATTTTGCTGAATTAAAATTTAGTGAATTTTTAAATTTTCGAAGTAAATCTGGATTATACGAAATATTGCTATATATAATAGATTTTTGTATTGAATAACAAATTTTGAAAAGAGAATAAATTCAAATATGCAATTAAATTTTCTCCAATTAAAAATTGGAATTTTTGAAACTTTCAAACCGGACTATGGTTGTAAATCCGTACTATTTGAGATGTTATTGTATATTTACTCTATATAACTCTGATATACTCTATATACTCAAATTTTGAAAAGAGGATAAATTAAAATCTGCAATTAAAATTTGTTCAATTAAAAATTAGTTAATTAGTGAAATTGTAAATACCAATCCGTACTATGCGAGGTTTTACTATATATTGAGTATTTGTCATAGCTTTTGGTATTGAAGAACAAATTTAAGAAAAAGATTAAATTCAAATCTGCAATTAAATTTTGTCCAATTAAAAATTAGTTTATTGCGAAATATTGAAATTGTAAATCCGGACTATGTGAGGTACATACAAACATATATTAACAATATAACATAGGTTTCGGTATTGAATAATAAAGTTTAGAAAGAGATTAAATTCAAATCTGCAATTAAAGGTAGGCAACTTCATTTACTTCTATTAAAAAGTAAATATAATTTAAATTTGTGTTTATATTTCATTTATGTGTACACTAGTTAATAACTAAATGAATCGTAACATTTACAAAAATAAGTCATTAGTGTTTTTGGAAATATCAGTATTATGTAATTAAAATGTCAATATAGATTTATTTTTGTTGTTTCATATAATTTTTATCTATTTTTTTAAAACGGGATTTTTTATTAAATTAAATTGTTTATATTTGTTCGAATTGATCAATTAAAATTTAGTTTATTATGAAATTTCAAACCGTGAATCAGGACTGATTGAAGCCGAGATATTGCTGTATATACAAATAAATATAAAGTGCGGTTCCGACAATATCCCGCACTGTTTGAAACAGGACTATTCGAGGCTATTAAAACCGAAACAGCACTGTGAAAACTCGATCATTTATTTATAAAAATATAATTTCATGTACCAATTTATTCGAATTGATCAATTTAAATTTAGTTTATTATGACATTTTCAAATCGCACTAAGTGAATCCGCACTGATTGAAGCCGAAATATTGCAGTATATACAAATAAATACAAAGTGCGGTTCCGACAATATCCCGCACTGTTTGAAACAGGACTATTCGAGGCTTTTAAAACCGAAACTTGAATGTGAAAAATCGATCATTTATTTATAAAAATATAATTTTGTGTACAAATTTATTCGAATTGTTCAATTCAAATTTAGTTTATTATAACATTTTCAAACCGTACTAATTGAATCCGGATTGATTGAAGCAGATATCTTCCTGTATATACAAATAAATACAAAGTGCGGTTCCGACAATATCCCGCACTGTTTGAAACAGGACTATCCGAGGCTTTTAAAACCGAAACTTGACTGTGAAAAATCGATCATTTATTTATAAAAATATAATTTTGTGTACTAATTTGTTCGAATTGTTCAATTCAAATTTTCTTTATTATCACATTTATCACGTTTATTATCACATCGAAACAGGACTATTCGAGGCATTTTAAACCGAAACATGACTGTGGAAAATCGATCATTTAAAATTTAGTTTATTATGCAATTTTCAGACCGTACTAAGTTAATCGGGATTGTTGAAGCCGAGATAATGCTGTATATACATATACATACAAAGTGCGGTTCTGAGAATATCCCGCACTGCTTGAAACAGGACTATTTGAGGCTTTTATAACCGAAACATGACTGTGAAAATCGATCTTTTATTTATAAAAATATAATATGTGTACTAATTTGTTAGAATTGATCAATTAAAATTTAGTTTATTATGACATTTTCAAACCGTACTAATTGAATCCGGACTGATCGAGGCCGAGATATTGCTGTATATACAAATAAGTACTGAGTATTATATATAGAATACATGATTATTAGTCAGTAGACCGGATGGTCAGGATTGGTTTTGTGTGCGAATTGAATTTGGCAAACTTATTTATACGTACGCTTTGTTTGCAATTTCAGAACATTTGAGAACGTTCCAAAGGTTTTCTTCCCGGTGCTGTGGTTCGAGCAAGTGGCGAAGATTCCGGACCATTTATCCATCATGCTGAGGTTCCTATTGGCCATGCCGCTGATCTGCAGAACGCTCGGATTTGTGTTCATTGTGTTCGGAGTATCGCTAATAGCCTACATTACACACAGGCCCATTATCCAATTGTTCCAACAAAGGACGCATCCACACAAAAAGAATATTTTTATAGTTCACGAAATCGTGCCGTTGACGCAAGGCGTCATAGAGAAGACACGGACGAAGGATAACATCAAGAAACATCGCGACGAGTACTTGCTGATGTGACTCTCCAAAGTTTCTCCAATACATACAACATAAGATCATCAAAATCATCATCATCATCATACAGCCGCGGTGAGACAATGTACTGACTATAAAAAGAGTTTTGTCTCTACTGTTTTCGGCTTCCGCGCTCATCAACCACAAGTGATCTGCAAGTAAGTCCGAATCCAAAGTATCCATCCATCCATCATCGGTGTAACTAATGTATCTACAAAAAAAATCCATGGGACCAAGTATACACGATAAGATTAAAGTGCATGTTTATACGGTTTGCGCGCTTCTTGAAAGCGATCCAAGTATAATATATATATGCATATATTCCTTGTTTACTATAACTTACTGTTAATAATACAACTTCTTTTTATATTTAACTTAATAATAAAAATAAACAACGTCCAAAGAGTTTAAATAAATACATTTACTTTCAATTACTGAACTCGATATAACCCAATAAATGTATCCATATTTGGTTCTTTTAAGTATCCCGAAAATACTGGCAAAACATGTTAATTCTGTAAGTATGCAGTGTAAATATGGACTTCCACCTGTGTGCACTTTCTTTATAGAAGACAACAACAAAAGTGCAATATCCTCTTGTAAAATGAACGGCTTCCTCATTAAAAAAAAAAACAAAACGATCTCAGCGCGTTTTATATTATCTACATTTTATCTAGACACATTGCAACATATAAATTATCCTTGCTACAGCATTTGCTTTTACGTCAATATTTTGAGTTTTTTAACATATACATGGATACTTGTTGAATAATATTTGAAATTTTAGTTTTTCCAGTTTTGTTTTATTTTTATATAATCCTATTACTGCAAACTTTTGTATAACGTGGTTAAAACGTTACGCATTATATATTCTGCGTTGTAAGAGAGATTTGCTCAATGTTTTTAGCGCGTTGTAGGAAGTCGCGTTATAGAATCGTACATATTACAGTTTTATACTACAAAAGATTATTAAATCTAAGAAATGTATGTGTTCATATGCAATATTTAAGATTTTAATGTATTGCAATAGTTTTGAATAATTGTGAGTTGTATTTATTTTTTATTAAAATTTTTACAGTTAATGTTATTGTTCTTATTCAAATATTGAAAACTTGATTAAAATAATCTTATTGAAGTTCGATGCAAACAGAAATAAATTAATGCAAATACTTGCACACGTTGTTTGGTCATGTAAAAAATTTACACTATTTAATAATTTATAAATTGAACATCTTTGAACAAGATGCGGCTTCGATTAGTCCGGATTCACTATAGTAACTAAATTTTAAGTGACAAATTCTTAAAATTATTTTAGTTTTCTTGAAACAGTGAAGTTTCTTATCATGTAGTTTATTTCTATGTGGTTTTAAAAAATCTCGATTAGTCCTGTTTCAAGCAGTACGGGTTATTGGCGGATCAGATTACCCGCACTATGGGAGGTATTGTTGCATTTCCTTTATAAATCCGGTTTCTAACTATGCGGTATTTAAAGTAAAATAGCTTACATTCTACAAAATTAAAACACTAACAAATTATTGATTTTTATAAATAAATGTATTTTTTTTTCTTTCTATATAGCTTATATATACAGATTTATCCCAGAATCTGGAATATTGACGGATCAGATTGCCCGCACTATTCGAGGTATTTATGTATTTCCATGATTAATCCGGATATTTGGAAAACCGATTACCCGCACTATGTGAGGCATTAATTTATATGTAAATTGCAATTGCAGAATAGATTTTATAAACTTTATATTAAAAATGTAAGTATAAGTATGCAATATTATAAGAATTTAGGAAAAGATGATATGACGTTATTTTCTATGTAATCTCTAATTCTAAATGAAATCAACTTTAGAATTACCAAATCACGAAGGTTATTAGTGATAAGAGATGTTATTTTTTGTACTATTTGTTTTTTTTTAACTGCCGAATGTAGCAAACAGCGAATCGTTTCATAAAAATTATATAAAAATAAAACTCTTTTTAGTAAACATTTCAATTTTACATGATTTTTCTGAAACGTTTTTTTTTATGTATGTACTCTTACAATTAATACAGTGGAACCTCGCTTAAGCATTTCGCTTAACGAGCAAAATAAATTGTAAGAAAAATGATTCGCTTAACGAGTGACGATGAGAAGAGAAGTACCGGATTTTGCGCGAATATGTACCCATATTATGTGTATTTTTGAATATATTTCGCTATACGAGTAAATCCGGAAATTTTGGAATTTTTGGATTAAACTCGTTAAGCGAGGTTCCACTGTATATTTAATCAAAAGATCTTTATTTGGTAGACAAGAAATAATTAAGACATTTTTAATTTATTTATTACAAAATGCTCACATAATAAGTAAATAAATTTTCTATTATTATAATTTTTGTACAATAAACTACTAAATGTACCAAATACAGCATTATACCTTGTAATGTGCTTCTTCGATTAGTGCGGATTCACTATAGTCCGGTTAGAACATTTCAAAACAAACCAATTAATCAAATATAGCAAACAGTAATAATTGTACAATAAATCAAATAAATAACTTGCACAAACAATAATTAAATTATTATTTGAGATTTATTACATTACAAACACTTTAACACATTGACGACGGCATGACCCACCGGTGGGTCATTAATTATAAATAATAGTTTTGTTGCTATGTACGCCACTGATTTTGACTGAGTATAACCTCAAATATCTTAAGTCAATTACAAACTTCAAACGCCAATACATTTCTTATACATATTTTAATAATTCTTGAAGCAATTTAGAAAATACGTGATATTGTGACATAATTTAGGCATACTTTGCAAATTAACTTGTGAAACATATTT